TCAGACCATCACCAGGTTATCCCTACTTTTTTTCAACGAACTCCCTGCAGTTCTGTTTCTACGCTACCACTACTCGACAACAAGCCCGCCGATGGTTGGATACCCACCTTATCGACGATTCCGGACTACTCACACCAAATAAGTTGAAAAACTACAATCCAACAATATTAAAAAATATACTCCCAATTAGACCGCTCTATATTGTATATTGATGTGTGGGATGTATACAAAAAGAATTTATATAGGAGAAGCTACGTGTGATAAACAAGTAAACCCTATATGTATATGGTAACTATATATATATATAGTAATCATATATAAAGTTAGAATCTTATATACGATGATCCTACATGGTTAGAATATATTATACAATAAATATATTCTATCACTTCTTATTTCCATTTCTCCCCATTTATGTTTCTTTAAGAAAATAAGATGATGACACTTGTCATTTGTTAATAGTCACATAATTATAATATTTTGTTATTATTTTGTGATATATATAATATATAGGAGTAATAATTATTCCAATTATATTATATTAGGAATTATTATACTTTTATTTAACAAACCCACTTTGAAGGGGGTTGGGCTAATTAAATACTTTGAGTTCACCGTAAAATGGGTTTGGGTTTGGGTCACTTCACATTTTGTGGTGGTGGGTCCAATTCGTCAAAAATAGAGAGGCTTACCAAATTTTAACCCAAAGCAGGACAATTTAAAAGGAGATTTGAGACTGAACTATAGATTAGTAGTAATGAAGGATTGTGAGTTAGCCCAGATTATAATTAATCCTTGCCGAATTTCGAATTCAAATTACTACCAATTTATAAGTCCATCAGTTTATAAAACGAAAGCCTGCTTATCATACCACGACCTTATAACTGCATATACTATATATCATTGCACCGATGATATTGTCTTTTTCTGCTGCACAGCTAGAGCCGAAAACACCCCTGTGCTCTCTCTTCTTTTGTGGTAGAAGAGTAGTGGGGGAGAGAAAATTATTCAAACACAAAGCAAGAGTGTAGAGAGAGAGAAAATATCAGAGAGCAAGAATGTAGAGAGGGCGAGGAAGAAGAGACAATAGAGTTGAGAGAGAGAGATAGAGGCAGCGGATGTTCTTGTTCAGGTAAGCTCTGAGTCAATGGTACCTTCACCCTCAAATTAGGGTTTTTCTCGTTCATTCTCAGTTTTGTGGGGTTTGTCTCTCATTTTATTCCCATTACTTCTGTTACTAATCATCAGCTATAACCGGTTGGAATTTTTCCTTGAATGTGAAACCCTAGTTTGTTTGGTTTGACATACTCATATTTATTTTCTTTCTTGAAAATCCACTTAATTATTTTTGTGGGACTATGTTTCGTATTGCTACTTTTAATTTAGACGTGGCTTAAGACTATTTATTGATTTTTTTGGAATGTTTGATTTTATTATTTTATTGATTATTTGGTAACAAAAAATGATATCTGTTGGACTGTTCTGCTGGTGTAAAGATATTAAAACTAACCTGGATAAATGTGCAGAGGACTGAAATTAAGTAATCTAGTTGCTGGCCATTTCTCCTCATTATTAATAAGTTCGAAATTGCTGGAAAAAGAAAAAGAAAAGGAAGGAATCCTAAGACCTTGGTAAGTGTGCCTTGTATATGTTATATATATATATATATATAAAAATACATATATGTAAAATTTATATAATGAATTCAATGGTATTATCTGCTGAAAACTTTAATTTTGCTCCAAGAGTGTGTAAATAATAAACATCATATTTTTTTTATTATAGTGACTTATTAGAGACGTTAGCAATTGGTTACAAATATGAAATATAGACCTACACAGTGGGATTTTGATTGGAATTATATATACGTATACTGATATATGATGAAGTTTAGGAATTATAAAATTCAGATTTGGTATCGGTGCTTCAAATTTTCCTTTGAGGTTTGTGATAAAATTTTGTATTCCAATTAAGCCTGTAAACTTAAAAGTTGCAATTACAATTGGTACAATAATTGTACTTAAAATTGCACTATTATATATGTTGACTCCAGCACATAGTTGTTAGTACATTTGCTTCTTTCTTTTTGACTTAAAATTTGATATATTCTTGTTTTATTTTAATGCACATATGATTTTCACTTCTTTTAAAAAAATTTTTTCCTTCTTTTAAATTTCATTAATTTGTGTAATCTTTCAAACATCTTACTTTTTTATTATTGATTTAAATTTGGGTGTAAACCTCTTTTTATTAAAAGAATTAGTTTATTCAGTCAATTCAGTCACCATACTTAAAATAAAAGCCCAAGGCAAAAAAGCCCAGGGCCGGCCTGACCTAAGGAGGTCGCCTATGGTCTCAAATCATTTCAGCCTGCCCAATAGCCTACATCTCAATTCTCGTGACTTTGCCCCCCCTGCGCGCAGCCTATTCCCCAATTGAGATGCGCCCCCCCCCCCCTCCCGGGCCGCGTGCGCGCGCAGCCTACTCCCCAATTTAGATGTTGCTTTTAGGGAGTAGGAATTTTTAAAGAGACATGTGGAACATGCCGTGTCTCCTTATAATTCGCCCTTATATTCAAGTTTGAAATTTTAAATTAGGACATATATGAAAAGATGTAGAATATACAATTATTTTGGGACGGACTAGAAAGAATGACATCTTTTTTGGAACCGAGGGAGTATATTGAATTCAATGGTATTATTGGCTGAAAACTTTACTTTTGCTCCAAGAGGGTGTAAATAATAAATATAATATATATTTTTTATATTTATTATATTGACTTATTAGAGACGTTAGCCATTGGTTACAAATATAAAGTATAGAGCAACACAGTGAGATTTTGAATGTAATGAGTCCTGCTATTGGAATTATATATACGTATACTGATGGAATTTAGGAATTATAAAATTCAGATTTGGTATTGGTGCTTCAAATTTTCCTTTGAGCTTTGTGATAAAATTTGGTACTCCAATTAAGCTCGTAAACTTCAAAGTTGCAATTACAGTTGGTACCATAGTTGTACTTACAATTGCACTATTAAGGTAATAATACTGATATATAAAAGTTAAACAGATTCAAGTACGACTTGACATTTGCAAATATTTATAATAAGAATTAGTTGCTGGCCATTTCTCCTCATTATTAATAAGTTATAAATTGCTGGAAAAAAAGAAAGTAAAGAAAGGAATCCTAAGACCTTGGCAAGTGTGCCTTGTATGTCTTATATATAAATATTCCCTCTGTCCTAATTAGATGTCATTTTTAAGGAGTAAGAATTTTTAAAAGGACATGTGAGACATACCTTGTCTCCTTGTAAAATTATTAATTTGCCCTTATATTCAAGTTTGAAATTTTAAATTATGACATATATGAAAAGATGTAAAATATATTGTTTGAAAAAGGAAAGTAGACAATTATTTTGGGACGAACCAGGAAAACATGATATCTTTTTGGGGACAGAGGGAGTATATTGAATTCAATGGTATTATCTGCTGAAAACTTTACTTTTACTTCAAGAGAGTGTAAATAATAAACATCATATTTTTTATTATAGTGATTTATTAGAGACGTTAGCCATTGATTACAAATATGAAGTATAGAGCCACATAGTGGGATTTTGAATGTAGTGAGTCCTGCTATTGGAATTATATATACTGATATATGTTAGAGTTTAAGAATTATAAAGTTTAGATTTGGTATTGGTGCTTCAAATTTTCCTTTGAGCTTTGTGATAAAATTTGGTACTCCAATTAAGCTTGTAAACTTAAAAGTTGCAATTACAATTGGTACCATAGTTGTACTTACAATTGGACTATTATATATGTCGACTCTAGCACATAGTTGTTAGCACGTTTGCTTCTTTCTTTTTCATTCAAAATTTGATATATTCTTGTTTGATTTTAATGCACATATGCTTCACTTCTTTTAATTTTTTTTTCCCTTCCTTTAAATTTCATTAATTTGTGTAATCTTTCAAACATCTTAGTTTTTTTTATTATTGATTTAAATTTGGGTATGAACCGCTTTTTATTTCACTGGAAAGTGACTCCTATAAAGTTTGGTTCAAGCTTTTGGTCTATGACATATTAAAAATAATGTCAAAGTTATATATATCTCAATGTAGCAAAGGGTTTGAAACTAGGTGGGCTCTGGTAAGTTTGAGCCCACTCCAAAAAAATTAATTTTTTTACTATACTAATTTTAACTCGCCTAAAATAAAATATATTAATAGAGTTAGTTTCAATCAAGTTGAAGTGAACTCAGCTAACGTACAAAAATAAAATCCAAACCAAATAAGTGCAGGGCCGGCCCTGACCCAAAAAAGGTCGCCTAGGGCTCAAAAGTCATAGGCCCATGGGTCACCAAAAAAACAAAAAAAAAATAATACAAAGGTTATTATTCAAACATTTTCGATCCGCGTCAACTAAACAAGCCTCCTCCACAACCGTTGATAAATTTTAATCCAAAGGCCGTGAATGATGGGACACTAGAAAAAAAGAATATTTTTAGGGCAAATCATTTCAGCCTCCCCAATCGCCTCCATCTTTATTCTCGTTCTCAACTCTGAACTTGCCCTATCCCTCTCTCTCCCCCTCTCTGCAACTGCAAACTACGAGATCTACAAGAATCAGAAGTTCAAAACCCATATATTTCTATCTGTCTGCAGGAATCAAAAGTTCAAAACCCATATCGATTGTTCGCCGTTCGCAAGTTTCAGCCGCTGTCTCTCAACTCTCAAGTATGTATGGGTTTTGTTTTAAATTTTTTTCTAACTCACCTAATCAAGCTCTGTAATTCTTGTTTTGCAAACTAAATCCTATTTGGTGAAGTTTTTTATGATTTTTTTTATATAATATATATATTTTTACAATATAAAGTAACAAAATTTGCATTGCATTGGGATGTAATCACCGTAATCTACCTTTTATTTCAGCAAAACAAATAATTTTTTTTTTATTTCTATATATATATATATATATATATATTTTTTTTTTTTTTTGGTCGATTATGTCTACAATAAAATTTGAATCTGGGCATGAAAAAAAAAGAAAAAAAAAAAAGAATCTGAATTGGATTAGAAATCTGCAGAGATTGAATCTGAAACAATTTTTATCAACATGCCAAGCTTTTTGAAGATGGAAATCTTTTCAGAACTAAAAAAAAAAAATCATAACAAGAACTTTGACAAGCAAAATACTTAATATAGGGTAAAGCTCTAAAGTTACTTCTTTAAATTAAAATACTTACAAAAAGCATGCTTTTGAGTTAAGTAATCTAGTTGCTGGCCATTTCTCCTCATTATTAATAAGTTCGAAATTGCTGGAAAAAGAAAAAGAAAAGGAAGGAATCCTAAGACCTTGGTAAGTGTGCCTTGTATATATATATATATATATGTAAAATTTATATATTGAATTCAATGGTATTATCTGCTGAAAATTTTACTCTTGCTCCAAGAGGGTGTAAATAATAAACATCATATTTTTTATTATAGTGACTTATTAGAGACGTTAGCCATTGGTTACAAATATGAAGTACAGAGCCATACAGAGAGATTTTGAATGTAGTGAGTCCTGCTATTGGAATTATATATACGTATACTGATATATGATGGAGTTTAGGAATTATAAAGTTCAGATTTGGTATCGGTGCTTCAAATTTTCCTTTGAGGTTTGTTATAAAATTTTGTTCTCCAATTAAGCCTGTAAACTTAAAAGTTGCAATTACAATTGGTACCATAATTGTACTTAAAATTGCACTATTTTATATGTTGACTCGAGCACATAGTTGTTAGTACATTTGCTTCTTTCTTTTTAATTTAAAATTTGATATATTCTTGTTTTATTTTAATGCACTTATGATTTTCACTTCTTTTAATTTTTTTTTTTCCTTCTTTTAAATTTCATTAATTTGTGTAATCTTTCAAACATCTTACTTTTTTATTATTGATTTAAATTTGGGTGTGAACCTCTTTTTATTTCACTGGAAAGTGACTCTTATAAAGCTTGGTTCAAGCTTTTGGTCTATGACATATTCAAAATAATGCCAAAAGTAATATATCTCTATGTAGTAAAAAGGGTTTGAAACCCTTGTTGTATCAATGTAGGGGTGGGCTTGAGCCCACTACCAATTTTTTTTTTTTTTTTTTTACTATACTAATTTTAGCCTAACCCAAAAAAAATAATTTATTAATAGAATTAGACCACCCAATCAAACACGTCGACTTAGCCACCATACTTAAAATAAAAGTCCAAGCCAAAAAAGCCCAGGGCCGGCTTGATCCAAGGAGGTCGCCTAGGGCCTCAAAATTTATAAGCCCATGGATGATGGGTCAACAAAAAAACAAAATATTTTTAGGTCAAATCATTTCAGCCTCCCCAATCGCTTCCATCTCTATTCTCGTGACTCTGAACCACACACACACTCTCTCTCTGCAACTGCAAGCTACAAAATCTACAAGAATTAGAAGTTCGAAACCCTTATATTTCAGTTTATCTATCTGTCTACAAGAATCAAAAGTTCAAAACTCATATCGGCATATCATTTCAGATTGTTCAAAAAATCAAAACCCATATCTTTTAGTTTCCCTTGCTCGCTGTTCCAGTTCGGGTTCGCCGTTCGCAAGCTTTAGCCGCTGTCTCTCAACTCTCAAGCTTGCCCCCCCCTCTCTCTCTCTGCAACTGCTAACTTGTATGTATGGGTTTTGTTTTAATTTTTTTTTACTAAATCAACTAATCAAGGTCTGTAATTCTTGTTTTGCAAACTAAATCCTATTTGGTGAATTTTTTTTTGATCTTTTTTATAATAATAATTATTATTATTTTTACAATATAAAGTAACAAAATGCACCGTAATCGACATTTTATTTCAGCTAAACAAATATATATATTTTTAATTTCTATAATTTCTTCTTCTTCTTCCTTTTTATTTATTTTTTTTTGGTCAATTATGTCTACAAGAAAATTTGAATCTGGGCATGAAAAAAGAAAAAAAAAAAAAAAAAAAGAATCTGAATTGGATTAGAAATCTGCAGAGATTGAATCTGAAACAATTTTTATCAACATGTCGAGCTTTTGAAGATGGAAATCTTTTCAGAACTTAAAAAAAAAACAAGAACTTTGACAAGCAAAAGTACTTCATATAGGGTAAAACTCTAAAGTTACTTCTTGAAAATTAAAAAACTTACGAAAAGCATGCTTTTGAGTGAATTCCATAGTGTTGGAAGGGGCTTGCCATGAACTACCTCACACTAACAGGATTAGTAAATTGGTCAAAAGAAGAGATAGGGTATTGAGTGATGAAATAAATTGGTATTTTTTTTTTTAATTAATTACCCAAATAGGAATATCTATGCCTTAATCAGTCAATTGTCTAAAGAAATATTGTTAGTTAACTAAAATTGAATTAAGCAACAATTGATTTTGGTTGATATATTTTGATTTAGCCCACCCCATTTAGAAATCCTGGATATTTTGTTTCACATAGAAATACAATATGTGTAATGCACGAAGGATATATTCAATCTTTCTGCCATATTTTTATTTTTAAGTTTTGGTTTTTGATTTTCTTTTGTTATTAGAATGCAGAATATCAGGATATTGAGTTGTTAATATTGAAGATTATTCGTAAATTGATGCATTGTACTTTGTTATTGGATTAATTTAATATAAGAGCTGAGTATAATATGTGCTAATCACACCTATCCATAATCACATCACTTTCTACAGATAGGTGTCTAACATTTTGACTGAAAGCATAGTTGGGTTGGGTTGATACATGATACAAATAGTACTTAGATGGTGGTGTTTTAATTGTTTTGAGTGAGATTGTGAAACCTCTTCCTCTCAACTTGAGTGTTTTCTTATTTTTAGGGTTAGCATCGGGCCTTAACATTTAGTAAGAACAAGGTTCAAGAAACATGCCTCCACAGTCATCAGGTAACAAACTTTTTACTTTTTCTAAAATTTAATTGACGTTTTTAGCTATTGGTTACGTTTATTTATTCATGTTTTACATATTGATTTTTTGTTTTTGTTTCTGCATACATATATATAATATTGTTATGATGTGATGCTCGAACAATTTATTAATGAGAATTAAAGATTTGGAAGTTTAGTTTTCAATCCAGAATATATGTTTTACAAGTTTATTGACGCTTTTAAAACTTTTCCTCTTTTGTCCTAATAATATAGGTCTCTTTTATGAAAGAGGAGAGTTGATGGGAATGAGTGGAGTCGGCAAAAAGAAAATAAGGTATGTTTTTTTTGCCTAGCTAATTGAATTATATAAATCTCCTTACCGTTGTAGTAGTGATGTTGGTTTTAAAATGGACAATTTTTATAGGAAGTCTCTTTTCAGGTTATCTTAATCAAGTATATATCTATTTAAGAGGATTATGTGATTCTAGATGAGGATGTTAATGTCAACGTTATGAGGATGTTGATGTCAACGTTGACTTTAGTGATGACGACTGATGATGTTGATAATATGTTGATGCACTCAAATTAAGTCATATCACTTAGAATTTATGGAAATTTAGAGTTGAAGACATACTATTGAGCATAGTATCTAATTCTTTTAGTTACAAGAATCTTTGTTCACTTCATACACGATTTTTCAGTTCCTAAAATTCTGAAACAATGTTGTGTATCATCTACTTGGACTCTCTTCTTTTTCATCTCTCTAAACCCTAATTTTATCTGCCACTTGTATTCTTATTTGGTAAAATGGGTGTGCAACAACATCAGGAGGTAAGTTCTGATATACTGTCTCCATCATCCATGTTTTCCTTTTATTTTCTGGCTTTTGACATGTACTTCTCAGATTCTTACATAGTCAAGGTACAAGATCTTGCATTTTCCCATCCTGATAACAAACTTTTGGTCATCACTTTCGGTGATGATTATACCATAAAGGTTAATTAATTTTTTTGGTCAATTATTTATGTTGTTGCCCTCTTTGCATATCTTAGCTTATCCTTTCAACATCAACGGATGAAAAGATTACCCTCTGGTCATATAACAAACTTCAAGCCAAGGGCACTTTAGATGTTTTCAACACTAGCCTTTAGTGCTGATGGGAAAAGGTAGTTAAAAATATATTATCTCTTTCTCATATGTTTACAAAAGACATGTTTTAAAACCAATGTGATTCTCAACATTGCAGGCTTTTTTCGCAAATCTGGTGAAACACATATTTTTGAATGGAATTTACAAGAACGTGTTGTGAGGAGGACCTACCGAGGATTTCATGGTTGGTCCAAGGGTATTGTGAATTTTGATACAATTAAGAACAAGTACTTGGTGGCAGGTGATTCTAATTTGATAAAATTTTGGGACATGAACAATAGTGATCTCTTGACGACTTCTGATGCGGGTGGAAACCTACCTGTAAGTTTTTGTAGTGTTATTTTTTAGATTTCGTTTCTTATTTTAAGCTTGAATGGTGGAGGAAAGAAGTTTGGTCTAAGTTGCTTTTTTCACTTTTGATTCTTAGACAACGCCAGCAATCTGTTGCAACAGGGAGGGCACATTATTGGCTGTTTCTGCCAATGATAAAAAATGATACTGGTGCCATTACTGCATCTGGGACCTTTACTAAGGTTAGTCTTTTATTTGACCACCTAATGGAACTCCGAATAGAAAATCCATCTGAAGATTATTATTTCTTGTTGCATAAGGTCACCGGTGTTAAACATATCTGTGTAATGCCATGTCATATGGATTATGTTTCGTTCTCATATTTGTCTCTATTGTGTTATATATTGTACTTGTTCTTCATCATCATCAATTCCATATGCATTTTTTTACTTGTTTGGATGTTTCTTTGGTTTTGTATTCTTCAATTCAATTAGACTTTTAGGGCCTAATTCTTAGCATTTTGCAGAGTACTTTTTAAGTGACATGCTGATTTGATTAGAACACTAAAAATATCTTACAAATTCAGTCATTTATTTTAAATTAATTCGTCCTTATTAGATCTCTCTTATGGGCAGGGTGTGGACAAAAATGACCCCGACACAGAGAGGGAAAAAATTATCGAGGTGCAGGAGGAGAAAATCCGACATCTCCAGACATTGGCTATTCAACTTGCCAATTTTTACCTTCTGTTCTAAGAAGTTATATTCACTACGATATCGAATGGGTCAACAACTCTTTAAGTGTAGGAATGCATGGTTCCCATGCTCGTCTTTGGGGTAGCAGCCTCACCTTATTTGGTCGCAATATACATGATTGGTAAGGAGTACCTAAAGAGTTCAGCAACACTAGATGAAATAGATGAAAATAATCTCGTCTGTAATAAATTTAAAAAACCAAGATTGGTATTTTCTTCAATTTTTTTTTTCTTAGTTGGTACTTACACATACGTCTTTTCTAAGACTTGAACTCTTGATCTCCTTTTAGGAAGTAAGAGGCTAATGCCGCTAGGTCATTGGCCCGTTGGTTAATCTTTTTAAAATTTTGTGACTCAGCTACAAGAAGGATCTTATAGTGATATGCAACGAGGTTTAGATGCCATCAGGTCAAGGAAACGAAAGCGGAAACAGTATTTGGCTATATGCATGATCTTTTTCATCAGCTTCGCCATAATAACGTCTTGTTGCTAGTGGATACTTTTCAAGACACACAAAATCAAGTCGATACACAGTGATCATAATTGCGTCAGGTTTTGTGAGCAACGCAAGTGTACAAGATTATGCATCGAATATCTTTGATGCATGGATCGAGTCCTCATTCTAATGTAATCTCATGTTACTAGCTAACAGCCATTGAGCGTTCAATGTTTTTGTGTTTTGGGGGGGCTAATTGCACATTATATACAAATTTCTTTACCAGAAAAATATAACCTTCGTGTTCATACGTTTGCAAGAATATATTTGTCTTTTGCAGTGGCTGGCCTTTTGGAGGCATTAGATTTTCAGAAGTGGAATAAATTATGAGCTAGTGCGAATTTATTTGTAATATATTTTGAATCATTAAAAATTTTGTTGTTGTTTGTGATTTTTACTTGGTTGATAATTACCTGATTAATGATAAGGCATGTACACATATATATGCGTGTGTGTGGAATATTATAGTGGTAAAGCAGTTGATGTGTGTTATATTAAGTCCTTTAATGCATGGACTGATCATTGATACAGATGGACCTTCATCAGCCCTTCGCAGCTGGTGGTAAAGCACTAGTCCTTTAATGCATGGATTGATCGTTGATACAGATGGACCTTCATCAGCCCTTCGCAGCTGGTGGTAAAGCACTAGTTCTTTAATGCATGGACTGATCATTGATACAGACAGACCTTCATTAACCCTTTCGCAGGTTGACTTTGTAGTATTGAATTTTATTGATTGATTCATCATTTTTCAAAAAAAATAAAAATAAAATTGTTAAACTCTTGTTTACCCATGGAGAAGAGTAATGCTTGGGTCGACAAGAATTGTCCTCCATGCTGACGTGGCCCAATCAGAATTTGCCACATCTCCTTTGCATTAAAAAATATAAAACATGGGTATAACCCATTTAACCGACCCATTTTAATTTATCTCTCCTTGTTTCTCTCCCATCCCTTATGTTTCCCTTTCTTTATCACAGATCAATCTCCCATCTCCTAATGTATGGCCCTCACCAGAGACGGAAGCTCACGAACTAGAAAAGTAAATCAGAGATGATGCAATTTGCAGAGTTTGTAGAATAGCATTAGTGAAGCTGTAGAAGAAAAGCAGAAGAGAAACCCTAATCTCAAGGCAACCAATTGTCCCCACAGAACCAGGTACTTCATCCATGATGATCTACATCTACTTCTGCAATTCACATGAATTTGATGATGATGATTCAATCTCCCTTTCTGAAAACACATCCTCACCCTTCAATTTAATTCTTCTCCTCAACCTCTGCTTGCTACCCAAATCTGTCATCAAAACAATTATAGCCCTGGTTAGCTATGACATGTTTGCCCAGTAATTTTCTGTTGGTTTGCTTGTTAGAGTTTTAGTTGTAGGATTGTTCAAGAATCTAAGATGAATGTCAGCTATGGAATTCAAATTATATTGCAACTTTAAAAACCTCTATTTCTGCTTTCTCTCTCTCTATCTATTTTTTTTTTTTTTTTTTTAATTATTATTTTTTGCTGCTGGATTGCAGGTGGGTTTGGTGGGCGTTGTAGGGAGAAGGTGGATGACAACAACAAGAAGTATAAACGCACTAGTAAAGGGTGTGATAGTTGGGTGCAGGGTGGCTTAGAGTCTGATGTTACATACCTACGCCATTTGGAAGCCCTGTGTATGCTATCAATCAAGAGGTCAATGGCATTTTACAACTGGTTTACAAGCAGCACTATGAGCTCTTCTCTCTGTAATTGTATCATGTTTTTAACATAGTGACCCATGAGATTTGCCATTCTGCTTTCTTTATGGACTCACTTGGAGGGGTTTGAGCAATATTAATGTGTGCGGAAATTATTAATCTGTTGGTGTGAACAATATATCTTGAACATAATCTGATGGTGTATGATCTCCTGTTGAAGTAAAAAAAAGTCATTGTTGCTTATCAAATCGAAGGAGACTGATGATAATTCCAAGTTTTGCTTTGGCGATTGGGGTTGCTATGTAGCAACCAAGAGGCAAACAAAAAGGAGAGATTTTAAGGCCATGACTGTTGTGATAAGGTAACTAGGAGATGATTGCAACAATAATTCAATGTGTTATTTGCTAAGTTGCAATTTGCTACTTGTAGTGAGTGCTCTGCATTTACCCAATTTATGGGCAAGGAGAGACCATGTTACTGCAGTTCATATTATTGTGGGAAGCTTTTTTTTTTTTTTTTTTTTTTTTTTTTTTTCTTCCTGTGGGAAGCTTTTTTATTCTGCACCAGAGGGATTTGTCATGCATTTTTCTGTACATCATTGTTTCATTTTAATAAATTTATATTTTGTAAATAATTTTTACTCTAGATAATGTGTATTACACTTTTCATTTTGCCCAAGACATCAAACTAAAGACATAAATTTGCATCACAAAAAAAAAAAAGCCGAACCAATAGAGAAAGATAAACAGAGTACATGATAGCAAATACAATAAACCAAGACTTAAGCCTCTAAAATTGAGCAAATCAATAGAGCAAAAGAGTGAAAATGTCTTTGATTGAAATAAGGTATCTTCATAATGACACCAACACTCAAGCTGAACCAATAGAGAAAGATGAACAGCGTACATGATATAGCAAATACAATAAACCAAGACTTGAGCCTTTAAAATTGTAGCAAATCAATAGAGCAAAAGAGCAAAAATGTCTATTTGATTTAAATAAGTTATCTTCAAAATGACACCAACACTTCAGCAAATCCTATCCCAACAAGTTATCTTGACATAAGTTGTTGCTTTCTTCTGTGCTTTGTGGAAGGCTACCATAATGTTTCTTAGATTCCTACACGCATTATAAAACAATAATTATGAGAAAGTTAATATAAATAAAAGGTCTACAGCAAATTGAGTGACTGAAGTATTGCTAAAAGGGCATATTTACCTGAAGTAATTGTGTGTAAGTCATATTGGATAGCCAATTTTCATTAGAGTTCATCACTGACTGCATCCCTGAAGGCATTCCATGGCCAATATGATACAAGTTCTGTGAACACAAATTTTAAAAGAGAAATCATGTTATAGGAAAATGTATGGTTATAAACCAAAATTTATCAAATGCAGAGAGAAACATAGAAAGACAAATCAAAAGTGTATTACTGGAGTCAAATTATCAAATGTTTGCTGAACAACTCCATGTCCAGCTCCAACTTGTTGCTCTTGTAAATTATAAGCACTGGAAATCGGCACCTAAAATATGTAGTGAAAATAAAAGAAAACAAGTACAATAAGAATAACACATTTAATTAATTTACAAGTTCTGTGAACACAGATTTAAAAGAGAAATCATGTTGTAGGAAAAGGAATGGGTAAAAACCAAAATTTATCAAATGTAGAGAGAAACATAGAAAGACAAATCAAAAGTGTATTACTTGAGTCAAATTATCAAATGTTTGCTGAACAACTCCATGTCCAGCTCCAGCTTGTTACTCTTGTAAATTATAAGCACTGGAAATCAGCTCCTAAAATATGTAGTGAAAATAAAAGAAAACAAGTACAATAAGAATAACACATTTAATTAATTTACAAGTTCTGTGAACACAGATTTTAAAAGAGAAATCATGTTGTAGGAAAAGGAATGGGTAAAAACCAAAATTTATCAAATGTAGAGAGAAACATAGAAAGACAAATCAAAAGTGTATTACTTGAGTCAAATTATCAAATGTTTGCTGAACAACTCCATGTCCAGCTCCAGCTTGTTACTCTTGTAAATTATAAGCACTGGAAATCGGCTCCTAAAATATGTAGTGAAAATAAAAGAAAATAAGTACAATAAAAATAACACATTTAATTAATTTACAAGTTCTGTGAACAATGATTTTAAAAGAGAAATCATGTTGTAGGAAAAGGAATTGGTAAAAACCAAAATTTATCAAATGTAGAGAGAAACATAGAAAGACAAATCAAAAGTGTATTACTTAAGTCAAATTATCAAATGTTTGCTGAACAACTCCATGTCCAGCTCCAGCTTGTTGCTCTTGTAAATTATAAACACTGGAAACCGGCTCCTAAATAATGTAGCGAAAATAAAAGAAAATAAGTACAATAAAAATAACACATTTAATTAATTTACAAAGTTTCAAAGCAAACCTGTGTGGCATTTTGTTGTCTTGTTGAAAATTTGGTGGTTTTGGGACGATTTTTTTTTTTCGTCGTTCAAGGGCACTTGATAGTCGACTATGTGGGCGTCTAACTGTGGCTTTTCTTTTAACCCCTATTGGCACACAATCATTTCGTGGAGCTACCATTTCACCTTCCTCATTTTAACAAACTGAACTTTCAGCACCGCTTAAGAAAATTTCTTTCTTCATCTCCTCTAAGCCATTAAGCAACACAAGAGCATGCTCATTTGCATATGCATATAATTTCTCGTGTTCTGAGGCTAAAGATGAAATTTCACGAAAATTTCGACACAAATGGCTATAACGCTTTCCCACAGACACCGTAGGACTGTCACTGGCAGCAATTCCATGATAGTTGGTGATAGTCCTTGCTTTTGCATCTCTTGTCCATCGTTTCATGATATATTGAGATTGAATCCTTTTTATATTTTTCTTATCCAACACTTTCAATGCATGGACACATAAAATTCCAATAAAAGTGAACTTCATACAACTACAAGTGATTGTTTGTGTTGGAACATCAAATTTAACCACATGTTCTCGAGATTTTCCAACACAAGATACTTTGTATTCAACTTTTGACCCTTCCTTAGCCACTTTGTATATATTGTAATCACCCAACCTCATGTACTCTTCCTGAAACAATTTGAAAATTTTTGGAGTATAAATTTCTGCACCATGACGTAAAGTCTCCACATTAGTTAACAAATCAGGCATGCTTTGCATCATCTTGAAATCTGCAAATAGCTCTTCATATCGCCGATCATTCAAAACCCTCTCATAATGCTCCAAGAAATGCAAAAGATTAAGCTTTGGCTTTAAGTAATTCTTCAACACATTATTCATGCTCTCACTACGTTGAGTAGTTTTCATGTCAGCAGTGAAAGTGTGTTGTCCATAAACCATTGCCCATTTTTCTCTTACTTCAAATAACTCTTTTAACCATTTATTCTCTTTGAGACTATATTTATCCAACATACTTTCCCATGCCAATAGCCATTCATCTTCATCTTCATAATCATACACACAGTTGCCAAAATCATGAGCAAATTGGCTTGATGCATGAAATACATGGCTCAAATTCTTCGCGGCATTTTGATAAATATGCCAAACACATAGCCTATGTTGAGATTCAAAAAATACTTCTGATATTGCTTTAGCCATTGCAACAGATTGATCTGTAAGAATCGTTTTAGGCTATTTTCCAGACATTGCACCAAGAAAAGTCTCAAACAACCACTTAAATGATGCAGTGGTTTCATCATAAAGTAAAGCTGCACCAAATAAGACTGTTTGCTTATGATGATTCACCCCAATAAATGTTGCAAAAGGTCCACCATATTCATTTTTCCGATAAGTAGTGTCAAAACACACAACATCTTCAAAAAGTCCATAATCACTAATTGAGCGTGAATCCGCCCAAAAAATATTAATAATCATATCATCCACATCAAGTTGTAGTGAGTAAATATATGATGGATCCCTCAGCTGCATATTATGAAAATACTCTAATATAGCTCCAGCATCACCTTTTTCCATTGCCATATTTCGCTTTCTATATATGTAATTTCGGTAATCCTTATCTAGAAAACCAAGATTCTCTCTCCCCCAAACTTCTCTGCTCATCAACTCCATAGATAATTTTATTGGTAATCCCGACCTGTCTGCATCTTCAGCATGTGCTTTTTGAGCCTTAGAAATACTTCGATTAACTCTCAACATATGTTTCATGGGGGTTCTAACCAAGTCATGATTATGACTTTTGTTCAATGACACAACCTTGAATTTCCCATTATTTTGAAGTAGACAAGTCATTTGAGCCTCACAACCAACTCTAGTTATGGGTTGATGGTAGGAAAGATTTTTTCTTCTATTCTCTCTTCTTTTACCTTCTTTTGAGCAACAAAAGGTAACCCTAGTACTAATCCCATTTCTATTTTTCCTGTGATGATTTCTCCTTACATCGAAACCAAGTTTACTACCATAGTTGAGGTAGAACTGGTATGCGCCCTCATCTGAACTAAACTCCATTCCAAGTTCTGGCTCATCCTTTTTTTGTTGAATTTCTTTTTTTTGAGGAACACTCATTAGAAGAAGAAAGACAATCATCTTCCATATCAACTTCACAACTATTCGATGGCTCACTGCTTAAGCCTATGTAATCCATCTCCTGCATTAGTCACTGAATACAGATTTTTTTTTTAAACATAATTAAGCTTGAATTAAACTCATTTTGAACAAAAATTCAACAATAACCATACTTGATTTAAGCTTTTCGAAAGCAGAAAAAATAATTTGCATTGAAAAATATAATGTTTGAACATACCTACTTCGAAAAATGCCAATCAATCCTTGCTAAAACCAGAACACTGTCTGAAATCAATGGGTTGCTTCCTAGAGTTTGGATTTGTGAATGGAGGCGATAATGTAACATGGAGATCTGAGCATGATGTGAGAGAAACAAAACAAGGGTAAAATTTTCAGATCAAAACAAGGGTAAATTTCTAACCTTCAAGGAAAGAACATGAATTCATTGTAATGCATAAACGAAAATAAATAAATGAATAAATAAATAAAAATCCTCAGACTGACGTTTTCTTTAACCATGTTTTGTCCTTTCTCATCGATTTTTTTTTCTGACTAATTCTGGGTCATATACGTAAATATAAATATATGCATATAATTTATACACAACTATAAAGTATATATAATTTCTTTGATGACAGATTTGGGTAGCAGGCAGAGGTTGAGGAGAAGAATTAAATTGAAGGGTGAGGATGTGTTTTCAGAAAGGGAGATTGAATCATCATTATCAAATTCATGTGAATTGCAGAAGTAGATTTAGATCATCATGGATGAAGTACCTGGTTCTATGGGGACAATTGGTTGCTTGGAGATTACGGTTTCTCTTCTGCTTTTCTTCTACATCTTCACTGATGCTATTCTACAAACTCTGCAAATTGCATCATCTCTGATTTACTTTTCTAGTTCGTGAGCTTCCGTCTCTAGTGAGGACAATACATTGGGAGATGGGAGATTGATCTGATAAAGAAAGGGAAACGTACGGGATGGGAGAGAAACAAGGAGAGAGAAATTAAAATGGGTCGGTTAAATGGGTTATACCCATGTTTTATATTTTTTAATGCAATAGAGATGTGGCAAATTTTGATTGGGCCACGTCAGCATGGAGGACAATTCTTGTCCTGATAAGGCAGGACCCAAGCATTACTCCTTGGAGAATGGTATTCTATATTCCCTTCTTATTTAGCAACAAATGATTTGAGTGTGTTGAAGATTGCAATTTTTTTTTTGAAATACTCAAGTAATCACAAGTTTCTTGATACTTTCTCCCTAGTTAGCAAATAAAATAGCAATGTGTTGGGAGATGATTTCTGTTTGATTTAAAATACATTCAACATTTACAGCCTTCTCCTTGTTATTTAGCAACAAATGACGAATGTGAGTGTTAGTTGAAGATTGAACCATTTTACTTTATAAGAGAGTGCAATTTTTTTTTAAAAAAAAATACTCAAGTAATCAAAAGTTTCTTTATATTTTCTGCGTGGTTAGCAATAAAATAGCAATAGCATTGTGTCGGGAGATGATTTCTGTTTGATTTAAGAGATCACATAAGCATGTAATGCCTGGAATAAGACATTTTTTTTGAGACAGATGGAGTGCAACACTCAAGCTAAAAAGGATTTGGTCATCATGTGATGCCTTGAATAATTTAAAACTGAACAAATAAATCATTCAGATTCAAACAAAATAAGATAAGGTTGTTTTCAGTAAATAGCTCTGTGCTTGTGCTTTTACGGTGGATGGAGCTTTATTCAACAATTATATACCCTAATGTTAAAAATGGACTCAAATGAATTTTTAATTCTTTTCATTAAAATATTAGTTTTATTTTTATGTTATGGAATTAAAAAATTGGGTAAAGTACAGCAACACCTCTTGAGGTTTGCCAAAAGGATACACAGGTAAAATTTACTAGTTTTTTGGACAAAGACACCCATTAAAGGTTCAAAAATGGACAAAGACACTCCTGACATGAGAAATTGACTAAATTACCCTAGACCGTTTAGGGAACCTTTTGAACTTTACAATTTAATAAATTGGACCAATCTACCCTCATGAACAATTTTTGCAATATATATATATATATATATTATCTCTTCTTACTCAATACCTAAAACAGTAATACCTAATACCTTTTCTCTTTCAGGACCAGATAACGATGGCGATCGTCTGGACAAGGCCCACCGCCACCGCCCTCTCTTTCTCTCTCTCTCTCCACACACACACACACACACACACACACACACACACACACACACACACACACACGGCAACACCCCCGGGTAGGTAGACTAAAGCCCTCTGCCACCGCCATCACCTATCTTCCCCTCCACCGCTCCACCGTCACCATACAAAGCCACACATGCATATATATATATATATATATATATATACACACACACACACACACACATACATACAAACACAGAATTGTTCAAATTACACACATATAACTCAAAATCCAAGCAATATGAAATTGGGTCTTTTGATTAGGTGCTCAAACCTGGACTCTGAGACTAAAATTGCAGGGGAGGACCAAGCTTCGATGAGGCGATGACAATGCGGCCACGGATTGAACAGTGAGGCGAGGTTTAGAAACCGAGCAATAAGAGGCCGACGAGCAGAAACATCACCAGCAAGGCTGAGGAGGTTGAAGTGGTCATCGCCTCTGCCATCTGATTAGAGCCCTTTCTGCGGGTAGATGAGAACTGTGGATGGTAATGTGCGTAGATAAGGAGGTGATGTGTATATGTGTGTGTGTGCACGTGTGCGTGCGTGCGTGCGTGTATATTGAACTTGCCCCCCCCTCTCTATCTCTCTCTCTCTGCAACTGCAAACTACAAAATCTACAAGAATCAGAACTTCAAAACCCATATATTTCAGTTTTATCTATCTGTCTGCAAGAATCAAAAGTTCAAAACCCATATCGCCCGCTGCAAGAATCAAAACCCAGATCTACAAGAATCAAAAGTTCAAATGCAAGAATCAAAAGTTCAAAACCCAGATCTTTCAGTTTCCATCGCCCGTTGTTCCAGTTCGGGTTCGCTGTTCACAAGCTTCAGCCGCTATCTCTCAACTCTCAAGCTTGCCCCCTCTCTCTCTGCAACTGCTAACTTGAATGTATGGGGACGGTGGTAGAGAGAAAGAAGAGAGAGGAGAAAGAGAAGAAAAAAAAAATGAATTTTTTATTTTTTTATTTTGGGTTTTGGGTTGGGTTCAGGTTGAACTCGATCTCAACCCGAACATGAACCCAATTGGTAAACTTAAAGTACAAATTTAAAATTTTCGGGTTGGGCTTGGATTGGGTTGGGTTAGGTTGCTCAAGTTGTAGCCCTAGGTCAATTCCCTGGTCCGAGGATTAGTAGAGATGAGAAGTGTGAAAAAAATGGAAAAGAAAAAGAATTCTCTGGTAACCGCTTTTGCTTGATGTTTTTATTTTGACTCGGAACCAACTTTAAAAATAAAATAGATAGTTTTGCTTGGTTTTTTTTTATTTTGACTTAAAACCAACTTTAAAAATAAAATAGATAGTTAAAAAGATCATTTATGTGTATTTTTGGTACGCTGCAGTGTTTTTGGTATTGCGCGGATGTAATGAAAACACCACGTGGGGCCTTTTTTGATAAACATTTTGGTACTAATTAGGGCCAAAGACTACGGTACATCTCGTGGGTTCAAGTCTCCTCCACGTGGGTGTATAAGTTTCATATAAATATATATGAAGTAACTTAGGAATATGGAGTTGGTCCTTAGATCTTAATAAGAAGCCTTTGGCCTTGGGTTATGCCCCAAGTTTTACTGTAATTATTGTTAATTAATGCTTTAATTTACTGACCAAAACTAAGTGGTAGGAATTGCCAAAGGGCATTTGAATCTGATTCAGATGTGACAACAGATTGCGCACAAAAATGGTTGCAACTGTAATCATCCTTTCGTTTGCATTAATTTATTGGTCGGCGAATTAGCCAAAAAAAACTCCTATGCATACCGAATTTATAATTCTTTATACGATTTTAAAAAGATTTAATTTTTGAGTAAATAAGGATTTGATTGTTCAAAAATAACTGAATAAAATATAAATAAAAAATTAATCAAATATGAAAGGACTATAGTTGGTTTTCTTCTTCATCACTGCTAGTTTATAGTTGGTCGCGAGGCAATCATGAGACTATGAGAGAGAAACTGATGGTGATAACGATCGATGATGAGCAAACGATGAGAACAACGACGTGACTCCGGCGAAGAGAACGTTGGTGAGAGCAATTCAGATTCAAACCACGAGGAATCGTCGGAGTTGTCACTGGCGATAGCAACGACAGCTTCGGCAACCCGCGAGCCCAATCAGAAAACTCCATCACCGTGTGTGAACTCAGAAACTTCAGAATATCAACCAACAGTTTTGGTGTGAAGGTTTGAGTATCAACGACCCTCAGTCCGGTGATACCCACAGTGACGAAACAAGAAACGAAGGTGAAGACCAAACCAAACCCATCTGCAGCAACATGAACCACATAAAGCTTTGAGCAAACAACGACCCAAGTGCAGCAAACAGAATGGCAAAGAAACCCGGTTCAGTTCGGCGAGCTTCACCTTCACTCAGCTCGGCGTGCTCCACCTTAGCTCCATTTACATTAACAGCGGAGAGAACGATACTTGTGATAGAACCGCTAAGCTCATGATCTGCATGCCTTTTCCTGTGACCTAACAACGAGCTTTACGTTCAATGACGGACTTAGAAAATTTTATAGGGGGTGAACTTTCTAATTTGTGGGGACAAACTTATATAGTAGGTTTATTTTTATAATTTCAATTTAATTTTTTCATAAATTTTGAAAAATATAAAGTATAAAATGTAAAAAAAAAAAAATCAAGGGGCCGAATTGTAATTTTAGGGGGGGAATTTTCAAAAATTCTTAAAAGTTTAAAGTATAAAATGCAAAAGAAAAAGAAAAAAAGAAAATCCAGTGGGGCAAATTGTGATTTTAGTAAGGGCATTTTCATAAATTCTATAAAAATTAAGGATAAAATGAAAATATAAAAATTTCAGTCTGGTCCCACATTAGGATTGTGCCATTTCACGTCCATGAGAGCTTTTCCGGTGACCAAACCGAAAAGCTCCGTTCAACCATGTTCCGGTGACGTTCAACTGACTCAACGAGCTACGTTCATTCTTGGATAGCCATGTTGGGTCTTTGATGAATAGTCATGAATATCTTTGATGATCCTCCCTTATTTTCTCAGTGGGGTCCTATGGCTTTTTGGGAATGTCACTAGAGTAGATGCAGTGTTTGTGCACATGACCAATTCTATAACGGAATAGTGATCTAAAGCCTTTGCTCATTTTTTCATATTTATTGAATTTATATACATGCTAGGAGTTTTATTTGCTCAAATTTAAATAATAAAGGTGTTTTTTTTCGCTTTGCAATTAATTTATAAGTATTGTGGGACATCCAATGTCACTTAGTCCCTAGGATTATCTATATGGTCCTTGAGCTTAGTCCCTAGGATTATCCAATGTCACTTAGTCCCTAGGATTATCTATTGCGGTTACCAACATGTCACGGGGTTGCAGGCTCATACGTAACCGACTGTCTACATGTATCAGCTAACTAAAGTTACTGGTTTAAAGTTGAATTCGGTTATAAGTAGACATGAGGTCTTCTTTCTAAACTTTCTGATTATGATGATCACATATAATCTTAACAATTCCTTGCATACAAGATTTTCATATATTCCGTCTTCATCTGTGTACTTGATTTCGTTCAAGGAACACAATGAGGAGTTGTAAAATAAAATATTCAAGTATGCGCAATCGGGGGGTTTGAAATATTTTAGTTCATGTATAATAAGCAATTAAGGTAATAATACTAATATATAAAAGTGAAACAGATTCAAGTAAGACTTGACATTTGCAAATATTTATAATAAGAATTAGTTGCTGGCCATTTCTCCTCATTATAAGTTGCTGGAAAAAAAAGAAAGAAAAGAAAGGAATCATGAGACTTTGGCAAGTGTGCCTTATATATATATATATATATATATATATTCTCTCAGTCCCAATTTAAATGTTGCTTTTGGGAAGTAGGAATTTTTAAAGGGACATGTGAGATATGTCTTATCTCCTTGTAAAGTTACTAATTTGCCATTATATTCAAGTTTGAAATTTTAAATTATGACATATATGGAAAGATGTAAAATATATTGTTTGAAAAAGAAAAGTAAACAATTATTTTGGGACGAACCAACATGACATCTTTTTTGAAATAGAGGGAGTATATTGAATTCAATGGTATTATCTACTGAAAACTTTACTTTTGCTCTAAGAGGGTGTAAATAATAAACATCGTATTTTTTGTTTTTATTATTATTTTTTATTATAATGACTTATTAGAGACGTTAACTATTGGTTACAAATATGAATCTTTTTTTTATTTTTTATTTTATCATAGTGACTTATTAGAGACGTTAGCCATTGATTACAAATATAAGGTATAGAACCACACAGTGGGATTTTGAATGTAGTGAATCCTGTTATTGGAATTATATATACGGATATATGATGGAGTTTAGGAATTATAAAGTTCAAATTTGGTATTGGTGCTTCAAATTTTCCTTTCAGCTTTGTGATAAAATTTGGTACTCCAATTAAGCTTGTAAACTTAAAAGTTGCAATTACAATTAGTACCATAGTTGTACTTACAATTGCACTATTCTATATGTCGACTCTAGCACATAGTTGTTAGTACATTTGCTTCTTTCTTTTTCATTTAAAATTTGATATATTCTTGTTTGATTTTAATGCACATATGCTTCACTTCTTTTAATTTTTCTTCCCCTTCTTTTAAATTTCATTAATTTGTGTAATCTTTCAAACATCTTAGTTTTTTTATTATTGATTTAAATTTGGGTATGAACTTCTGTTTATTTTATTGGAAAGTGACTCTTATAAAGCTTAGTTCAAGCTTTTGGTCTATAACATATTAAAAATAATGTTAAAGTTATATATATCTCAATGTAGCAAAAGATTTGAAATCGGGTGGGCTTTGTAAGTTTGAGCCCACTTCAAAAAGAATAATTTCTTTTTTTTACTATACTAAATTTAACTCGCCTAAAATAAAATATATTAATAGAGTTAGTTCATTCAAGTCGAAGTCAACTACTAAAATAAAATCCAAACCAAATAAGTACAGGACCAGCCCTGACCCAAAAACGGTCGCCTAGGGCTCAAAAGTCATAGGCCCATGGGTCACCAAAAAAACAAAAAAAAATTTAATACAAAGGTTATTATTCAAACGGAATCGATCCGCGTCAACTAAACAAGCCTCCTCCACAACCGTTGATAAATTTTAATCCAAAGGCCGTGAATGATGGGACACTAGAAAAAAAGAATATTTTTAGGGCAAATCATTTCAGCCCCCCCTATCGCCTCCATCTTTATTCTCGTTCTCAACTCTGAACTTGCTCTATCCCTCTCTCTCCCTCTCTCTGCAACTGCAAACTACGAGATCTACAAGAATCAGAAGTTCAAAACCCATATATTTCGGTTTATCTATCTGTCTGCAGGAATCAAAAGTTCAAAACCCATATCGATTGTTCGCCGTTCGCAAGCTTCAGCCGCTGTCTCTCAACTCTCAAGTATGTATGGGTTTTGCTTTAAATTTTTTTCTAAATCAACTAATCAAGCTCTGTAATTCTTGTTTTGCAAACTAAATCCTATTTGGTGAAATTTTTTATGATTTTTTTTTATATAATATATATATTTTTTACAATATAAAGTAACAAAATTTGCATTGCATTTGGAGGTAATCATCGTAATCTACCTTTTATTTCAGCAAAACAAATAATTTTTTTTTTTATTTCTATATATATATATATATATATATTGGTCAATTATGTCTACAAGAAAATTTGAATCTGGGCATGAAAAAAAAAAAAAATTAAAAGAATCTGAATTGGGAGATTGAATCTGAAACAATTTTTATAACATGCCAAGCTTTTTGATGATGGAAATCCTTTCAGAACTAAAAAAAAAAAAAAAATTCATAACAAGAACTTTGACAAGCAAAAGTACTTAATATAGGGTAAAGCTCTAAAGTTACTTCTTGAAAATTAAAATACTTACAAAAAACATGCTTTTGAGTTAATTCCATAGTGTTGGAAGGGGCTTGCCATGAACTACCTCACACTCTGCTTCCACTACTAGATTCTCAAATAGGATTAGTAAATTGGTCCAAAGAAGAGATAGGGTACGGAGTGGTGAAATAAATTGGTATTTTTTTATTAATTACCCAAATAGGATTTTCTATGCCTTAATCAGTCAATTGTCTAAAGAAACATTGTTAGTTAACTAAAATTGAATTAAACAACAGTTGATTTTGGTTGATATATTTTGATTTAGCCTACCCCATTGAGAAATTCTGGATCCGCCTTACTAATAATGTTTTGTTTTACATAGAAATACAATCTGTGTAATGCATGAAGGATATATTCAATCTTTTTGCCATATTTTTATTTTCAAATTTTGGTTTTTGATTTTCTTTTGTTATTAGAGTGCAGAATATCAAGATATTGATTTGTTAATTTTGAAAATTATTCCTAAACTGATGCATTTTACTTTGTTATTGGATTAATTTAATATAAGAGCTGAGTATAATATGTGCTAATCACACCTATTTGTAATCACACCTCTTTCTACGGATAGGTGTCCAACATTTTGACTGAAAGCATAGTTGGGTTGGGTTGATACATGATACAGATGGTACTTAGATGGTGGTGTTTTAATTGTTATGAGTGAGATTGTGAAATCTCTTCCTCACAACTTGAGTGTTTTCTTATTTTTAGGGTTAGCATCGGGCCTTAACATTTAGCAAGAATAAGGCTCAAGAAACATGCCTCCTCAGTCATCAGGTAACACACTCTTTTCATTTTCTAAAATTTTAATTGGCATTTTTAGCTATTGGCTATGTTTATTTATTCATATTTTACATACTGATTTTTTGTTTTTGTTTTTGTTTCTATATATATATATATTGATAAGTATCCTACATACATATATATAATATTGTTATGATGTGATGCTCGAACAATTTATTAATGGGAATTAAAGACTTGGAAGTTTAGTTCTCAATTTCAGAATATATGTTTTACAAGTTTATTAACGCTTATAAAACTTTTCCTCTTTTGTCCTAATAATATAGGTCTCTTTTTTGAAAGAAGAGAGTTGATGGGAATGGGTGGAGTTGGCAAAAAGGAAATAAGGTATGTTTTTTTTTGCCTAGCTAATTTAATTATATAAATCCCCTTACTGTTTTAGCAGTGATGTTGGTTTTAAAATGACCAATTATGATAGAAAGTTTTTTTTCAGTTTATCTTAATCAAATGTATATCTATGCAAGAGGATTACACAATTCTAGATGACGATTCTAGATGAGGATGTTGATGTCAACGTTATGAGGATGTTCGTGTCAACGTTGACTCTAGTAATGACGACTGATAATGTTGATAATATGTTGATGCACTCAAATTAAATCAGAACACTTAGAATTGAAGGAAATTTAGAGTTGAAGACATACTATTTTGAGCATAGTGTCTAATTCTTTTAGTTATAAGAATCTTTGGTCACTTCACACACTATTTTCTAGTTCCTGAAATTTTGAAACAATGGTGTGTAATATGATTCATCTACTTGGGCTCTCTTCTTTTTCATCTTTCTACGCCCTAATTTTATTAGTGAAAAAGAAAAAGAAGACTGTGCAATTTTAGTTTAACTTTATCAATTTGAGCATTGACAAAACTTCTGAAATGTTGAAACTGAAACAACAAAGAAGAGAAAGTCCACCAATAAGAATTATCCAACTTAGGACAAAATAAGCTCTCTGATCGTCTTGACTAATATTGGAATGGGTGACTTTATAGATATGGATTTGTAGAGAGAAAGATATATAGTTAGGGCACAAAAGTGTACGATGGGAACCAACAATAGGGTTGTGAGCTTTTGGATTGTTTCATGCATCGGATCTAGGAAGTGATGTTGGTTTTAAAATGACATAAGATCTTATTTTTGACTTTTTTTTTTTTTTTGGTAAATTTCAAAACATTTTATTGAATGGGACTTGATTGACTTTTTATGATGTAATATAGATTTTACATTTGATTATTTTGCTTTGGTTTTGATACTCTTGTACCGGTGAAAGTTGTAGTTTGGTGGTCAAGGGAGAATTACCCATGAATGTTGTCAGGACATTGAGTCAGGACTCTACTTCAAATAGCATGGATTTTCATCCTGACCAACCGACGCTACTTCTAAGTCAGTTTTACTTTTCTGTGCAAGTATTTTTATGACGAGTTGAATATTACTTTCTTGGTCAGTTTTACTTTTTTGTTTGATGATTTGAATGTTGAATTGTTCCTTCCTGTTACTCTTCTATTAGTTGGAACCGATATGGGAGACACCTTGTTGTGGGACGCTGATTTGGGGGAGAAGCTACTCACAAAGTGACAAAATAACGGTAGATCATTATAATATGCAATCTAAACTATCACTATAGAATAGTGACAAAATAACGGTAGATCATTATAATATGCAATCTAAACTATCGCTATGGAATTTCAGTCTTCTTTTATTCTAAGTCCACACATCGCAGTTACTCGTGTAAAATGGAGCCCTGTCGGTTCAAAATTTGGTTAGCTATCGGCTAGGTACACGATTTTGCATTTTCCCTTTTTTTTTTTTCAATTATTATTATTTATATTGTTGCCTAAGATAGAGGCATTTACTAATTTACATGTAATTATAGGTGTGGGATGTGGATACTGCTATAATGTTGATGGTTTTTTAAGGCATGAGGAGCCTTATTTATTGTGTCTGTTTGAGTATAAGGGAAGAAGTTCATGTAAGGACCCAATTTCCCTTCTATATTTCTTGCTTCCATAATAACCTTATTTTTAGTCTTTTTGACATTCTGCCCTCTTTGCACATCTTAGATTATACTTTCGGATGGAAAGATTACCCTCTGGTACTTCAAGCCAAGGGCACATGGATTGTTGTCAACACTAGCCTTCAGTGCTGATGGGAAAAGGTAGTTAAAAATATATTATCTCTTTCTCATATGTTTACAAAATACATGTTTTAACACCAATGTGATTCTTAACATTGCAGGCTTTTTTCATGTGCTTAGGCAAATCTGGTGCGACACATATTTTCGAATGGATTTCATGGTTGGTCAAGGGTATCGTGAATTTTGATACAATTAAGAACAAGTACTTGGTGGCAGGTGATGTACTTTGATAAAATTTTGGGACATGAACAATAGTGATCTCTTGACGACTTCTGATGTGGGTGGAAACCTACCTGTAAGTTTTTGTAGTGTTATTTTTTAGATTTCGTTTTTAATTTTAAGCTTGGAGGAAAGAAGTTTGGTCTAAGTTGCTTTTTTCATTTTTGATTCTTAGGCAACGCCAGTAATCTGTTGCAACAGGGACGGCACATTATTGGCGGTTTCTGCCAATGATAACAACATCATAATATTAGCTAGTTTCGTTAATGATACTGGTGCCATTACAGCATCTGGGACCCTTACTAAGGTTAGTCAATCTGTCTGAAGATTATTATTTCATCTAGCATAAGGTCACTAGTGTTAAATGTATCTGTGTAATGCCGTGTCATATGGATTATTTTTCGTTCTCGTATTTGTCTCTATCGTATTATATATTGTACTTGTTCTTCATCATCGTCAATTCTATATGCATTTTTTTACTTGTTTGGATGTTTCTTTGGTTTTGTATTCTTCAATTCAATTAGACTCCTAGTGCCTAATTCTTAAGCATTTTGCAGAGTACCTTTTAAGTGACATGCTGATTTGATTAGAACAATAAAAATATCTTAAAAATATCTTACAACTTCAGTCGTTTATTTTAAATTAATTCGGCCTTATTAGATCTCTTTTTTGGGCAGGGTGTGGACAAAAATGACCCCGACAGAGACATTGGCTATTCAACTTGCCAATTTTTACCTTCTGATCCAAGAAATTACGTTCACTACGATATTGAATGGGTCAACAACTCTTTAGTGTAGGAATGGATGGTTCCCATGCTCATCTCTGGGGTAGCAGCCTCACCTTATCTGGTCGCAATATACATGGTTGGTAAGGAGTACCTAAAGAGTTCAGCGACACAAGATGAAAATAATCTTGTCTATAATAAATTTAAAAAACCAAGAGTGGTATCTTCTTCAAATTCTGTGACTTGGTTACAGCGAGGATCTCATAGTGATATGCAACGAGGTTTAGATGCCATCAGGTCAAGGCAACGAAAGCCGGAACAGTATTTTGCTATATGCATGATCTTTTTCATCAGCTTCGCCATATTAACAATTTCCGGTTGCCAGTGGATACTTTGCAAGGCACACAAAATCAAGGCGATACACACTGGTTATAATTACGTCAGGTTTTGTTAGCAACGCAAGTGTACAAGATTATGCGCCAAATATCTCTAATGCATGGATCGAGTCCTCTTTTCCTTGGAGAATGGTATTCTAAAAATGATGAACATCATCTAAACATTTACGGTCTTTTCCTTGTTATTTAGCAACAAGTGATGACTGTTAGTTGATGATTGAAGCATTTAACTTAAAATACCGTAATCTCATGATATGTTTTACTTAAATTGTTGAACTCTTGTTTACCCTTGGAGAATTGTATTCTACAAATGATGAACATCATCAAAGCATTTACAGTATTTTCCTCCTTATTTAGCAACTATCATCAAAACATTTACAGTATTTTCCTTGTTATTTAGCAACTAATGTAATCTCATATTAGTAGCTAACAGCCATTGCGTGTTCAATGTTTTTGTGTTTTTGGTGGGCTAATTGCTACAGTTTACACATTATATGCTAATTTCTTTACAAGAGGAAAAAGAAAAATATAACCTTGCTGTGCGTGCATTTTCAAGAATATATTTGTCTTTTGCGGTGGCTGTGTTTTTGGAGACATTAGATTTCCAGAAGTGGAATAAATTATGAGCTCCTGCGAGTTCATCTGTAATATATATATTGAATCATTAAAAATGTTCTCGGAACAATACCTGTGATAGAACCGCTAAGCTCACGAAGTGCATGCCTTCTTCGGTGACCAAAGAACGAACTTCACGTCCATGAGAGCTTCTCTGGTGACCAAACCGAAAAGCTCCGTTCATCCATGTTCCGGTGACGTTTGACTGACTCAACAATGAGCTACGTTCATTCTTGGATAGCCATGAATATCTTTGATGATCCTCTATTATTTTTTCGGTCCTAATGTCACTAGGGTAGATGCAAATTTTATAATGAAATAATGATTTAAAGCCCTTATTTGCTCATTAATTCATATTTACTGGATTTATATACATGCTAGGAGTGTTATTTGCCTAAAGTTAAAATAATAAGGGGTGTTTTTCTTACTTTGCCCCTTAATTTATAACTATTATAGCATTTATTCAACTTGCAAAAATTTTATCTTAATTTATAGTAATTATAGCATCTTTTCAACTCGCGGAAATTTTCTCTTAAATATCATGAAATATATGTTAAAGCTCGTTGTCTTTTTGTATTAAATAACTAATGTTTAATTATTACTTTATATTATAATTTAATAGGATAATATGAGTAATAGGTAATTTATATTAGAGATAGAGAGAGAAGTTTGTGTTAGAGAGAGTCCACCAGAAAAAAAATTGATGCACAAAGTACAAAGGGTTAAAAAAAAAGACAAAAAAGAGAGATAAGAGTTCTATACGAGAGGGTAAGAGACCAAATGGAAAAAAAGAAAAAAGAAATATATATATATATATATATATATATATATATATATATATATTGCACAAAGTATTAAAAAGAAAAAGAAGAAGAAGAGAGATGGAGAGACGCTTGTGAGAGAAACTAAAAGAAATAAATAATGTAGGAAGTGAGAGAGAGAGTTGTTCAATTTGAAACCCAAAAAAAAAAAAAAGGTAGTCAAACAAAGACACAATGGAGAAAAAATTGCTAAAATTGAAATCAAAAGAGAGAGAAAGAAAGGGTTGTTGAACTTGAAACCAATAAGTACTGGTCCACCTTTCTTCAACTGAGTTTGTTTAAACTTTCATCCCTTCAGGTAAGGGTTCAAGTAGGGATGGCAATGGACGGTTTAGGGTCCCATCCTTATTCTGCTTTAATTTTTTAACAATTCCTAAACTTGAAGGGTTTTATAAAGTAATCCCCATTAAAAAAAATTTGTTCTCCAAAAAATCTCAAATTGGGTGGGGCCCGGGTAGCGGGAGTGGGAATTCTTGTCATTTTTAATACATATACTTAACTTATTTTAATAATATATATAATATGTAACGGTAATTTAATAAATTTATAGTATATGTGAGTGGGGCGGGACAACCATTCCTGAAACTGCCTCAAAATCTGCAAGGTTTTTCAAAACAGCTCACATCCCTGTCTCTATTTATATAATCGACTTTTCAAAATCGACGGAGTGGGGCGGGCGTTCCAGTATGATATAGGAAAAAGAAAAGATAAAAGTGTCACTTGAAGGATTATCTTACTTACGAAAAAAAAAAAAAAAAAAAAAAAAAAAAAAAAAAACTTTCAACTAAATTCTTTAAAGATTAACGTATATGTATGAGGTCACGATTTTGCAATGCTTATTTGTGTGTATATATGTATGTATACGTTGATAAATCATAGTTGATCAAGAATTTAATTCCACGAATGCAATATGCTGTTACATATTCTTTTTAAATATTTTTTTTCTTCTTTTAAAATTAAACTCTTTTAATGTCACCATAAAAAATGTAACATTATTTGTATTAGGATTTTAATTATATTTACTTGTGACGTCACGCAAGGCCCTTGTTTTTACTGTGCACGTTTTATGTATGTGCACGTTTTCAAGGTGTGTTCAGTTGCGGTTAAATCCAAATTGTTATTTAAGCTAACCAATAGAAGGGCGGATCCAGGATTGTTGATTGGGGTGGGCTAATTTAGGATTGGGCTAATTTTGGGTGGGCTAAATTTTTTTTTTTTTTTTGGGCTAGGCTAAAAGTAGTATAGCAAAAAAAAAAAAAAAAAATTTTTTTGGGGTGGGCTGAAGCCCACCTTCGCCCACCCCTCCCTCCACCCTTGAATAGAAGTGCAACTAAACTACGTATTTTGTGATAGAATGGCGTATACAGAGTATTTTGAATTGTTTTGGACATAGTGATGATCTATATTTTCACATCCGGTTTAGATTTGTTTTTCTATTTATTTATATATTTGTTTTTAAAAAAATTAAAAATAAACTCATACTCATTATTTGAGAGATTAAACTATTAGACTACAAGTCCTTTGGTGATTTAAAATTTTTTTATTCTTTAATTTAATTTATGTTTAGGTGCTTATTTGTTCCATTTAATTAACTGGCTTTCTATATATATATTGTCACATTCATTTTATTATGAGAACAGTTTCATTATTCTTATATCTACTCATGGGTTATTTAGTTTCATACTTTCACGAGTGTTATTGGTTTGCGCTTTGCAGGTTTATATATTGACATTGATATGGAAAGGGAAGAGACAATGGGCTGTGTTTGGTGGGTTCTGGATTGTTGTTCACTTATTTTCTCTTGTTGCCGCTGTGCGAATAGACCCGTTTGGAAACCTATATTCCGAGTGTTGTTCAAAAATATGATCCAAGTATACCATATATTAAAGTGTTATTTATTTAAATATTATCTGAAAATATAATGTATATATATAATTATTATTATAAAATAATAATCTATATATATAATTTCTTATAATATTTAATTTAATATAATAAAATAAAAGAACCTGATTAAAAGTCAAAGTTAGAATTTGATTCTATGTCCTTAATACAGATTCGTCCCGTTATGGTGCTAACAAATTCAGTGACGTCAATCTCCCAGAATACAACGACTTGTCTTCCTTCAATAGTAGCATTACAAACCAAAGGAATAGGCGAATCGGCTCAGTGTAGTACTATCTGACTCGAACTCGGACTCGAAGTTACTGACTAGGACTCGAACCCTCAGACACTTATAGAAGAAGAAAGAGGAATGAGAGAATTCAGAATTAGAGAAAATGATTTTAAATTAGAGTGATTTGCAAATAATCCAAAGGGGGGTATCTATAGGTAGGAAGGTGCCTTTTCGCATAGGTGCAACCATAGGTTATGATGGTTCATAAAAAGATGCAACCCTTTAGAAAAAAAGAAAAACTAAAAAGTGGTTTTTAATTTAAATTCAAAAAATCAACCACCCAAAAAACCAACCACACATTTAAATAAATCTAGCCCAAATACAAGCCCAATTCAAAATTCCATTTAGTAAAAAGAATAACCGTACTTTTCAATTAAATTCAAGCCCAAGCCCAAGCCTAAGCCCAAGCTTGATTTATTTAAAATTTAATTGGTTTTAGCATTTTTTCCACCTCACTTTGGATCTAATTTCTCATTCACCAGAAAACGGATTTGAGAAAGTAAATATACTATGCTGCGGAGAGGAACGCGCTCTATAGATCTGCAAAAAATTCTTAACGGAATCTATTCCAATTCTCATCCACAGTTTATATTTTTAATGCTCTCGTTTCCAATAATCCCCCACATGAATGGAAATTTGCGTAAATTGCAAATGAAGAACATACAGACACTAGAGAGAGTACTATTAGAAAGTAACTGCATCGGGATAGGCAACTTTTGGTTTTGAACCTTCCCTAGTGCATTACTATCGGATTTACTGGCTAACCAGTGAACGTGATGTCTTGAACTGTTCAGCTGATGATATAAACCAAGATAATAACAAACACACAGTTCATTCCCGCACAAGGTCGGTTCTTACGGTTGTGTTCATATGGCCTTGAACAACTCCTGGTATGCTCTAGAAAACTTAGCCTTAGAAGTTCTCATAGAAGCAGCCCCACTTCACACTCGTATATGTTACTTCTTATTAAGAGTATCTGTGATACCCCTCGATTCTAGAGCCACGGGTGATCAAGTCCGAGCTCAAATCCGAGGGATACCAAACAATTAATATTTAAATAAGCACAGAATACAAATATGAAATAAGAATAAAATAATAATACGTTGAAAGAACTCTAAATTAAAAATCCTCAAAAATTAAATAATAAATTCCCAACTTCCCAATATCTGTACAACTCGGGAATCCATCTAGTGGACCCCTATTCAATCCCAAATTGTAAAGTAATACAACTAAAATAAAAATACAAAGCTAAACATGGATAGCAGTCCTACATAGTCGGAGGAGTGAGTGTCTATATCTGCTCGGCACGATCAAGCTCTAAGCCTAGAACTTGCGAACACCTGAAAAATAAGAGTGGGTCAGGCCTACATGCAAGTTCTATCCTACTACAATCCATACAGAAACCCGATACGCAGATACATCCTAGATAGTTCAACAATAACTAAAATAGTTCATATATGTATATATATATACACACTATAGACGTTCACTAGACTATTGTGTAGTCTCAGCCTGAATATAAGGTAACATGCAAATCGCACGTAACGTGGTCATATATACCTAGACCTACCACAGAACAGCAACTATGTCCAGTTATCCATCCTAGGCGATATACGCACCCTAACCATGATCCTGAGACTCAAGCTCATATCACGACACCATAAAGATATATATATATATATAATCCATTTAAGATATGACATTCAAATGTTTATTGACCTGTCATATATATAAGTAGGACTTAACTTTTATAGTTAGTCCATCTTATTCC